CCACAAAACCCCCCACCCTGTGCACCCCCCGAAACATCAGTTAGTATTCCATTCAATGCAAATAGAATCAACAAATAAGATAGAAAAAAAAAACAAGTACCGAACTCTCGAAGCCATAAAAAAATTAAAAGAAAAAAATGCAAGAAATTAAATAGAAAATGAGAAGAACAATTAAAGATATAAAATCACACACCGAAAAAAAAAATGGGCAGACAACGTGCATCACTCGTAACATTAAATGTAATGTACATGAAAAGTGGTGAACGATGCGAAGTACCTGACAGGCTGACACTAGTATCACACTTGCAAAATGCAACATGATACAATGTATCCTACTGCTAATGCACTGGCACCACATGTCGAAAAAAATACAAGAAACAGTAGTCTACAAGTCGTGTCGTAGCTGCCTAAATGATACAAGAAAAAAAAAACATTGTACAGTCTGAACTCCGTCTGCTGCAACCGACGACACTCTACGAACACCTTACTGGCACCAAAATCATCCTCTTTGAACACCCTACTCAGCCTACTGCTACCAAAATCATACACACCAACAAGTAAAGCACGCACACAAACACTGAGTGTCTGACAATACTGAGACAAGACGAGACGACTCAGACGACCAAAAAAACTACGACCGCACAACATGACGACGTACAGTGCGAGTAGGGGAGAAGCGGAGTGTTGGCCTCATCTGTCAACGACACTTCTTCCCCTTCCCGCTATGTCTCCTCGTGCCCCCTCGAGTGCCGGATGTCGACCTCTTCCTCCCTCGTGAGGATGAAGAAGTCCGTGCAGCGGAGCGTCGAGATGCACGCGTCGGTGGGGGTCATGGGGGAGGTGGGGGCTCATCGTAGTCGTCGTCGTCATCACCATCGGAACCGCTCCTGCTATCCTCCTCTCCCCCCTCCTCGCCCTCGTAGTCCTCGTCCGCCTCCCGCACAGCCACATCCGTATCAGGATCATCCTCCTCGATGGTGACTGGGCCTCCTCCCGTCCTCAACACAACAACCCTCGCGGTGGCCTCTGCAATGGTCAGCTCACGGCGGGATCCACGAGGCATCCCCAACCCCTCCGCCCCCGAACTCTCTCCAAGTGCTGCGCCTCCCTCTGCAGGCACGGGGCGTGGACGAGGAGGCACTCCACGCTTGCGTGGAGTCTGCTCCTGAACGGCACGCGTCACTGCTCTCAGAGCGTACTCCAAGGTCTCGGTGGACACTCCTCTTCCACGACCTCGCTGAGGCTCACAACCTGATGCTGGTACCTCCCTCGCCGCAGTCGTCCTAGCGCCTCCTCCTCCCAAGCCCGACTGAAGGTGTGCAGTGTGCTCCGTGACACGGCGGGTGGAATCCAAATCTATATCTGTCCTCCCGAATATCGTCGTGTCACACACGTCCTGCTGAACTGCTGTCGTGTCACGAATCCTAGATCTCCCAGGCGTGTGTGGGGATCGAGAGCCTCTGCCTGTGGGCGACGATGATGGATCACCTGCAGGTGCTCTGGGAGGAGGGGGTGGCATGTCTCCTGTGCGTGGCGCTGTCTCTGGCACGCCACCCGAAACCCTTGGAACATGTCCCGCGATACGTCCTCCGGTGGAGGTAGACCCAGACCACACGGGCGACGCAGGACCCCATGGAACTGAAGGGCTCGACTGCCATGGTGGATGCTCGAGCCTCCGGTCAAAGATCCGCCGGTCCAAGCGAGTAACATCGCGCACAACCTCTCTCGCCAACTCCTCTGCATCCAAAGGACGACGGTCCTCCTGCGGAGCAAAGTGGCTAGGAAGACGTGGGGGCACAACCACCGGCTCGGGTCCCAAATCCATGATAACGGGTGGTGGCACACCATACACTGCCATCTGAACCGCCTGCGGCTGTCGGGCCTGAGCCAAGTGCAGGCCGGAGAACGGAACGACTGGACCCGTCGCTGTCTCCTGGACCTCGCGCCGTGCGTCTATAGCCCCCTCGACTCGCCGCTGTCGTGCCTGCACAGCCTCATCCACCGCCTGAGGCCGTCCCTCCACAGCAACGTCCGCTGCCTCTGCTCCACCCGGCATAGCCTCGGGTACCGGCTCTGCTGCCACCTGCTCCGCAACGTCCTCCCCCGCCACCACCCCACCCTGCACACAATTGACGCCTGGCGTCCTCTACGGCCCATGCGAACGCCTGAGCACGAGGGTCAGTCGATGCCAAAAGTCTAGCCCTCTCTCACTCCATGATGTTGCGTGCTGCATCTGGAGACTCAATCGTCGTCCTCTCTCTCGCGGTCTGCATCGAAGTCTGTCCTGGCGCCTCGTCCCTCGATGGAGCCCGGTCCGTCGATGTCGCCCCGCCGCAACTAGGTGGAAGGCCCATCGACAAATCTAAGTCTAAGTGGGTCCCCATCTCCGAATCTGAAGTCCCAAACCCCCTCGCCACACCCGGTGTCATACCCGCTATGACCGGACTGAACTCCTCCATGACGAACTGCTGCATGAGGCGCTCGTCATCGCCCCCACGCTGCACCTCGGCCTGTGCGGCTATCTCCTCCTCCACTGCAGCTGCCAACGGTGCCTCCTCGTCCTCCACTGCTGCTGCCACCTCAACCTCCACTGCTGCTGCTCCTCCTGCCGCCGGTGGATCCTCCTCCAGCAGTGATGCTGCCATCTCCTCCAGCACTGATGATGCTGCTGCTGCTGCTGCTGCTATCTCCTCCACCGCGGCTGTGATCGCCGCGTCCGGCACTGCCGCTGGTGCCACCGAACTCTCCACTGCTGCTGCCGAAGGTGCCCCCTCCTCCTGCAATATCCTCGGGGGAGGTGATCCTAACCTAAGCTGGCGGACTGCCCCGCCTCTGTGCAGAAGGCCGCGCTGAGGCAAAGAGGACCCCAACTCCTCCCTATCCGCGGTTGCCGTGGCCGGCTGAAGTGGAGAGACGGGTGATGGTGGTGCAGGACTCGGAGCAGGAGGTGGCGGAATGGACGAATCCCGCCTCGTCGGAGTGGGGGTCGTCGCCTGCGGCTCTGGGCCGCCCATGGAAGCGACCTCACCGAATGGGCCCCAAAAGTCCTCGTCTCCCCCCAGCATCTCCCTCTCCGCCCGGTCCGCCACCCGTCGTGCAGTGTGTGCCCTCGTCTCCTCGGAGTCGGGATCCTCATGCGTCTCGTCGATCTCCCGGGGAATGCAGAGCGCAGGGTCATCTGCCGCCTCGGGTACCGGCTCCTCGTCAGAGTCGTCCTCCCTGGGGTAGGGACGAAAAATCCAAGCACGTCTATCGAAAACGGCCTCAGCCGAGGGTGGTGCGGACGCCCCGATGGGATCCCGGGTAATAAGTGCAACCTGACGGGCAATCTCCTCCTCCGTCATCCCCCTGCAAGTCCCCGAGCGCACAGGCTCCAACTCGAGTCCTGCCTGGCAATCCAGCATGCCCTCGTCCCGCTGCCATGGTAGCACATAACCGCATCCAGCCTGCCGATACCTTGTCAACCGCACATTTGCGGTGATCTCAACGAGTTGCACGACCTTCTCGAAGGCCAACTGGTTGCGCTTCTTCGTGTGAATGCCCTCATGGACTGCCCAGTTCATCTCCGCTGGAGAGGCGCAAGACCACTTGTGCATCACCCGAAGAGCGCAACGCTGCAACTCTGGTGCGCCCGACCCGAATTGAGACCACCAAGACGCGCACTCAATCGTCTTGCTGTCGCCACTGCACGCGCGCCCACGAGCAGGCCCCTCCGGCCCGCCCCAATCCCCGAACCTGCCCTGCTGAATGTGGAAGTCCTCAAACTGCCGACATGCAAGGATGTACTCCGCACCCTCCAACTGGAATCCCGTCTGCGTCAGAATGTACCTCTTGGCTTGCCCCACAAGCCAAGCATCGTACCGCTCTACCTACCCCGAAAGTAGCGAACGTGTCGCCTGCGGGGGTTCAGTAAGAACCCTGCGCAGTGAGCTGGCTCAAGCATGTGCTGTGTGCGAGCCTGCACACGCCTGATGATCCGGTCGGCGAACGAGCTCCCCAAAGGGCCGCATGCGTCCGTGACACGGCGGACAAGATCCTGCGTCCGCTCGATCATGAGGGACATGTACTGTCCTCCACGATCCATCCGCCTGAGCAACTCCATGACGGGCTTCATGATATGGACGGTGGTGGCCACCCTCTGCCACCATGGATCCCATCTGATCTGTCGGCGCACCCAACGCGCCGTGACGCACACATCGGCGGACCACGGGATGGAAGCAAAAGCCCACGCGTCGTCCCCTCGCATCATGTCGTGTAGAGTGTCCTGCAGGGCCAACAGCCTCTCTAGCATGGAGTAAACAGACGCGAACCGCGTCTGGCAAGAAAGAATAAGCCCCTTGTTGGGGTTGCGCGTCCTGAAAAAATACAGTGCGGCCTGGTGGGTTTTGAAAAACACCACCAGAACACGAGCTCGTGTGATCGCGTCCTCAAACGCGTCGCAACTCGTCCCCATGTCTGACAACAATTTGTTGCATACATGGACGGAGCACGGGAGCCAAGTGATCCTCCTCAGTGCAGGAGGCATGGACGGCGAGGTCAATGCCCTCGCAGCCCCCACATAGGCAGAAGTGGAGTCAGTGCATATCGCATTGATCCGCTGGGGCCCGCCGAAGCTGAACTCGTGGAAGATGGTAACCCATCTCCGAAGGACGTGCACTGCATCGTCCGCCTCGCCCTCTCGATTGATCGTCGTGTACACGACGACCCCTCGAGAGCCAGCAGCAAGGAAATTCACGATCGGTCTCCCGTCTCGTGATTTCCTCCCATTGGAGAGGAGGGTGGCACCAGTCACCCAGAATGGCTGCCTCACCTACTCCAACTCCTCCGCCAACTCCGCACGGTGGGTCTCCACCGCCCGCATACTCGCAATCTCGCAGTGGTTGGGGAGCACTGCGCGCGGGGAACTGTCGGGCTGCTCAAGAAGCACCTGTTGATATGCCTTCCAAGCCTGGTTGCGGAAGGCATTGAAGGAGACCCCGCTGGAATACAGCCAGCGAAGGAATGCGTTCTTGTGCCGAGCAACCCACTCGCCACCATAGATATCAGTCACCTTCTGCTGGCGAAGCCTCTTCCCTGCTGGGGTGGCAGCCGGATCACTTCCTCCTTCCTTCCTCTTGGAAGACCCCTCCCCTGCACCTCCCTTGCCTGCTCACCTCCGCCAGTCCTCCAACCTCTCCCCAGTGCCTGGATAAAACTCTGGCACGTCCTCCCTTTCCGGGACTCCCTCCTCGCCCGGGCCATGGGCCTCGCGATCGACGGGGATCACGCCCTCCTCCGTCTCACCGCCTCCACCACCCAAAGTGGGGTCTGCCGCACCATGCCCACCATCTCCCCCGACCCCTCCCTCCACCGGACGCCGCCCCGCCTCTCCTCCCCTTGCACCACCCGTGCTGGGCACATCGAGTCCGCGCTCCGTTGCATACCTGTCAACCCTCTCCATCTGATAGGTCTCGAACTTCTGTTGAGTCCGTCGAGCAATCTTGTACAACGCCTCGTCACTGACGTCCTTGCAGTAGTTTGTCTGCGTGAAGTGCCTCGTGGCCTGAAATTGAGTCCCTTGGAAAACTTTGTTGCAAAACGTCCAACGGAGCATCATGACCCCCTTGTTGTCGACCTTCTGGCCAACAACCAGGTACTGATAGAGAGGGGAGCGGGCCCTGAATGTGTCCTGCACATGGTCCGCGACAGCCTCATGCTGACGGCGCTGGGCCCTCCCCATGTCGACCACCCTGGTGACACAACCCTTGTTGACTCCCCCCGACCGCACCGCCGATGCCTAAACCCCCGTCATCCGCCGCTCGCCGCAGGGTCCCCCTTCCCCCCCCCCCCCCCCCCCCCCCCCCCCCCCCCCCCTGACAGCCGCCCGCCTCAGGGTCCCCTGTGTAGCACCCCCCCCCCCCCCCCCCCCCCGCCCGAACCCGCGCGCAGTCGGCCGAACAACCACAAACGCACTGCGGGCCCACACGTTAAATCTCGTTTAACGCCGTTCAAACGCGTTAAATCG